TGTATGTGTGTATTTACGTGTACACTTGACCGGTGTGCTTATTTTTATACGCGAGTGGTGTAAACAATTTGTTCATATATCTGTATACTCATCCGTGAACCCACCAGCGCACTAAACGATTTTGTCATTTTGTGCTTCTGTTAAATCATCCACCTGTGACTACTCTGATGCGAATATATATTTAGACAGATTCACACACTCTCACAGATGTAAAGGGGGCTCGGTTACATACAGACTGACATGGACTATCATGTCCTTCATAAAGTGGTACTAAGGTGCACGAGACAGCTGGTAAAGTATCACTTCCCGGTCAGCTTGCACAAAAGGATGATATACATAAAATTAGGTTATGTGTAGATTTGTGTATGTCTTCAACGATGCATGCACCTATTGGAATGGCCTAGATCTATAGCTTTGCGATGGATACCAAACCTTGTTTATGTGGTATGTTCCCTGTAAATCTACACAGTTGAAGCGAATTGCCGTTGTGCAGTATGTAGTGTTTTACTATTGTCTTAATATCGCATTAACGGAGATATGCTTCATGGAAACACTCAATCTGCTACTGGGTTATTTGCAGTGCCGGTCACGCTGACCACGATTCTCAACAAGTGCGAAAAGGGCAAGTACGAGAATGTTGAGATGTTTGAACAGGATTTCGAAGAGATGCTTAGCATGTCGAAGGTGAGTGCTATGTTACAAATCTGTAGGATTGTGATTTCCTAGGAAGAAATGAATGCCCTGATAGATTTTCAATATATATATATATGTATATATGTATATATATATATGTGTGTGTATGTGCGTGTGTGTGTGTGTGTGTATTTGCGGTTCACACACACATATATATATATAGAATTAGAAATAGACATATACTCCTCATTGACCTTTCGCTGACAAGCAATTGCACGGTCTTTATCATATCCGCTTGTTGGTTGTAGTATATAGAACTTCGTCTTCTTGTTGATATCGGAACACGCTTTCACAAGTGCTTCCTATGTTCTGATAGTGATTGACTTTCCTCGTCCACTCCAAGATATCCAATTTCAAACGATCCAATTCATAAATAAAATTTAACCCATTTTACCTGTTATCATCTGTTTTGGGTGTATTTATACCATTTGCTCCCATGATAGTCATCGCTCCACGTTTCCACGAGGGCGTTGAAAGACGTGAAGGTGATGGAGGAGTTGTTTGTTAATGCGCAGTCCAACGCTGTGGCCGCGCTCAACACCGATTGTGATATGCACTTAACACAGAATACCGATGTCGAGGTACGATATACAAATATATGGCTACATTATATATATATATATATATGTATATGTGAGTGAGTGAGTGAGTGTGTGTGCGCGTGTGTGTGTGTGTGTGTACAGATATACTATCAGTAATACTGTACGTACATCGTTGATTATATTCTATCAGTATTTCACTATTACTTTACGTGCACCCTTTATTATATACTATCACACCTCTTAGAGCCATCTCACTTATACATCGTAGGCTAACAGTATTGCACTAATACTTCATGTGCATCGTTTAGTAAACACTTTCACACCTTCTAGAGCTGATTGATACATCTTGTTTATACATCTTATACTAACAGTATTACACTATTACTTTATGTACACCCTATATTATATACTATCACATCTTTTAGAGCCAAATAGGGGCTGCAGAGGTCGTGGCTGTGGGTGAGCCGTTGCTGAGCGCACTGTGCGACGCAAAAGCCAAACGCAGCCGCAAGCTAGTCGACATGTTCATGAAACTCCCCTCACGGCGACAGGTGGGGACTTGTAGCTGCTTGGCGTGTTTTTAGACAGATGGCTGCATGCGAATCCTGTCTTTCTCTACGTATA